TTTTCTTTTCTTTTCTTTTCTTTTTGTCGTTTTGCTTAAGGACAGAATGATTTTTCTCTTTTGTTATGGCTTCATTTATCCAGGGACACTAATTTTCATGATACGAGAAGAGCATGATTGAGAAAAGCGCGTCCAGATGACATATTTGGGAAATAATACAAGACCAAACTCTAAAGACACTGATTTCCCGTTGAATTAACTTTATTAGTTTCCCATAAAAAGGTACAGCAATACATGTACTTAAACTGAGCTATATAGATTTTTTGGATTGTTTTATACCATAATGATTTGATTTAGCATCTCTTACAATAAGCATTCTCTATTCCAATGAACACCCGTTATTTTACCACCTATTCCCATCTTCCAATATTCAGGCTCAGGGTACCAAGTGTAATTAGTGAGTTGTGAGAGCGATTAACGTTCGTCTCATTACATTGCTATTAAGCAGCAGCCACCTATACAACGACCATCCCTATTACGCGGACAGTAATCAAGGTCCCGATGAGGGCTTTTCTACTGTTTTTACCTCTATTAAGCGGCCAGACCCCTTTAAGAAGCCACTATCCATTTCCCCAAGGGTGACCGTTTAATAGGGGTTGAACTGTAGGTGTTTCGGTGTAGAAGCAGTTTTTGTAGTTTCAGTGCTTTAGCCATTCACGGCAAAGGCGAAATTGAGTAAAACTAACTTGTCTCTTTTGGGTAGCTCTCAAAACAGAAACAAAAATTTAACCGGCACCCCGGGAGCTAAATCGAAATTTTATGGCGCGTTAGCATAATCAACAAGAGATAAACAGTTTTCCTCACAAAAGCAAAACAATATGTTAGCGCCGGATATTTGGATTCTTATTGTTTCGTGCCAACTTTGTTAACTAGACCCTACTGATAAGCATAAAAGACCCAGTAGTTTATAAAGGTTACAAAATAAAACAATTGAAAACGTGGCTTTATTTCTACGGTAAGGCCTACCGTTCACAATAATCTGTTACGAAAACGGAGCTTTTCTAAAACGCTCTTGAAGCTGAAGGTATTTGAAAACACTGGCTTTCCGTTTTTGTGTGAACGGAAAACATTTTGAAAACGGAGCTTTTTTGAAAACGATGGCGTCGCGATAATTTGATTTTCCTTCCCGACTGTTCTGCAAACACGAATCCAAAATGACCGGTGATTGTTGCGTTCTTAAATTCTTTCGGCGTAATGTGAACGGAAAACATTTGATTCGCTTTTAGAGTGAAACCTCCGTTTTCAATTTCCTTCGGCTTAGCGTGGACGAGTCCTAGAATTAAAAGAAGAAAAAAGCAGTAAAGAAAAATAATAGCCTACATGCAGTGATTTTCTCCCTCGGTTTCACTATGTACAACGGAAAAACCCATAAAGTTATCAGCAGCTGCTCAAGTTTGTTAGAAAATGCTAGAAAGCAAACTGAGGTTCCCTGCTGTGTGGCAAAACCTTGGTAAGTCTTCTATACAGCTTTTCTTTCCTAAAGACGGTTCCACTGTTGAAACAAATTGATGAGACAAGTATTTTCGGAGCAGACACTTTTCCAGACCAATTCAAGGGAAACATTTGGCGCAGATATCAGCTAGTTTTAATTTATATTTGGAATTCCAATTATAGTGCCGCCATTTTTATTGCTAATATTGACAGCTACTTGACGTACTAACATTCACTAAAGTGCACTCCGCGTTATGATATATTTTTCAGTAAAAACTTTTACGATAACTGTAGAAATTCTCACGCTTTCATTGGCTAATTTATTATTGTCAATAAGCGGACAGACATGAATTTTTAATTTATGCGATGCGTCAACGAGCGAGAGCGGATAATTTGACAAAAAAAAAAACAGATTGGAGTCAGTTTTCATGCGTCTGGCCTGTTATTGACAATGAATTTCGTCATAACAGTGTCAAAGTAGTCTGCGGATCTACTTGGCTTTCGCCTCGTGAATCCACAGCTACTTTGACAACGTTATGACAAAATTCATGATCAATAACGGGACAGACGCACGAGAAACTGACGTTAATTCTTTAAACTTCTTATGGCAATTGTCGAGCTTTTTGTTTCATCAGTGAAGGCTTCCCTATGTTACGTTCGCTGTACCTCGTTAGTGCTCGTGCAATATAATTAGCGCTAAGTCTCACGAGACCAGACAAAAACTTAAAACTATTTTATACATTGCTGATGTGTTTTGCTTTGGTGAAAAAAGTTATGGAATAACCAGGAAAACTATTTTACTTGAGAAAAAATTAGTTTGAAGATTAAATCTACGGAGGGTTATGTCTACCAGTTGGTTTGAGATAAAGAAAACAAAAAACATGTTTTCGTTATTATGCGGATATCTCGATAATCTTCACAAGCCCTGCATCATTGGAGTTTCCACCAGTTACACCAGAACAACCCTGACCACTACAGTACGAACCCCCTCCCCCTCCAGCTTGGCGTGCACGGGTACCGCTGCCTCCCCCAGAGTACCCTCCCCCTCCACCGGATGCACCATTATCTTCTGACCCCCCTCCACCACCACCAAATCCTCCCACCGCTCCTGGTGCTCGCGCCCCGTTGTACCCGCTGTTCATGCTGCCGGCTCGACCTCCAGTCCAGCCTTGAGCACGTGATCCGCCCGTCTCTCCATGCTGTTTCCCCTTCCTGGCACACCCTTGAGCATACCAGCCTGCACCTACACCCCCATGGTAACTAGCTCCTGCACTGTTACATTCACCCGGCTGCCCCCCAGTACCTCCCTTCCGAACTCTGGACGGAATTTGCCCAACACTACTGGTGCCTGTTGTTCCCGCCTGACCATCCACCCCGTTATATCCACTAGACGCACCCCCTCCCCCTCCGGCGGCTAATAAAAGCACATTACTTCTAGTGTAAACAAAACTTCCTCCTCCTCCCCCTGTACCAGCATTGTCCTCTACAGACCGCCCTAGCTGAGCTGCTGTCTGGGTAGTACTTATTCCTCCTTTCACCTCTACTGAGTTTCCTCCTCTCTGTCCCACCACAATATTCAGCACTGTTCCTTTAGTCAGTCTGAACTTGCCCTTAATGTACGCACCCTTGCCGCCATAGTAAGTTCCCGGCTTGTATCCATAGTTGTATGAGTGTGTTCCTCCCCGGGCTCCCCAAGCTTTGATAAGATAGCGAGCGCTTCTGGGAACGGTGAATTTCTGAATAGTTCCAAATCGTCCACTACGCCCACGCGTTGTAAATGGAACTAAACATGTAGGAGAAAAAGGGAAATTATTGATACCATAATTACTTAACTAGTGTAAAGCAAATTTTATCTTCTGGAACTAGATAAATCCCAGCGGAATTTAAAATTGAAATTTTAGACTACTAATTTAGTTTCCGGAAGTTTTTGTCATTTCGACAAGGCCATTGCAGAATCCTTTTTGCACCCCGCTTCATCATAAAGAGTGAACGCTATGATCGCATTAAGCAAGCCACGTAATGTAGTCTCGACAGACTTTGATCTGTGGCAGAGCTCATTACCTGATGTTTAATCGTCGTTTTACTCTCGGTTTAGTTGTCCCAAAATGTAATTAAGTTAAGATCCATACGCCGACGTGTTCCATTCAAACAAACCGAGGCCCATTACAGTCTGAAGCCTCTACCAATTAGGTAATATAAATGAGCGTGCATTTGATCCGAGCCAGTAGTAAATAACCATCTAGGCCTCGAAGGCTGAAATGATTACAGTCCCCTCATTTCAAATAAGTGCGGAGAAACAATCGAGGTAGTGAATACTCCATATTTTTTCTGACTGAATTTTCCCGTGTTTCAGAATTAAGTAAGCTAAGCGACTGTATGTAGAAGGCCGTAAAGTTGGTGGGAAGTTGTTCAGGCCGTAGTGCGGAGTTGTTCACTACAGAAATATAATGGAACGATGAAAACGCGATTATTTGGTTAACTTTCGTTAAGAATTATGCAATCCGAAAATGAAAATCAATTCTCACGGAACTCATCCACGGCAACTATGTCGCTAACAGGGTAAAAGGAAGCTTTTCTGATTGTTTAGACGAAAACTGAGATCAAAAGTTGTGCCTGCTATAGAAAAAATACAATATAATCCCACGACCAAAATTTTGGAGAATTTTGTCGTTTGTGAAAGCATGTAGTTTTCAGCCTCCATTTGCCCTCCAGTCTTTGCACAGTTAGTTTAACGCACCATATCACCGATGTTATCCTTTTAATTTGGCATGTGATGGATTAACTTCAATTTATTAGGTGATACCATGCGTACTTGTTCAAGATAAATTTATCTTATAAATAAAGATCTTGGCATCTATTACACCTTATTCAGTCAAATTTAAAAAAAAAAAAAAAAAAGAACTTTGATATTCAATAAATACCAGGCTTGCCGCAGTCTTTTCCATCTCCAGCATATCCAGTTTTACAAGTACACTTGTAAGATCCTTTGGTGTTATGGCACACAGCATCAACATGGCAGCTATGGGACTTGGTTGTACACTCGTTTATATCTGAAACATAAAATGAGGAATTGTATAATAAGGAAACTGAAGGTGATTTCTTTGCTCTTATCGGCATGTCAAGATGCTCGATTCCCTGATTAATTTTAGCAAAAAAAAAATCACAAAGTATGACTACTATAGCTTGAACGTTGTTTAGTAATGGTAACTGAACTGAGTGAAAAGCAATTTGGTCAGAACTGAAATCATGCGCTTGAATTAATTTAAAATCAATTAAACAAGCGCGGCTCAAGTATGATTTCAGACCAAAATTTCACGAAACGAATTTTGAAAATAGAGCAGTAACTAGGATAAGCCATGCGCCCCATATTTTAAAAAAAGTAAGTTAGACAAGTTTAAAATAAACATTGTGCGCATTTTATTTGCCCTCCAGTATTTGCACAGTTACATACATTGTAGCTTAGCTTTACCACATATATCACTAATTCTATTATTTTGGCGAATGATAGATTAATTTAAGTACGTCTACGCTGAGTGATTNCCAGAACAGTTCTTTCCATCTCCAGCATACCCATCTTTACAGGTGCAATTGTAGCCTCCCTTGGTATTATTACAAGCAGCATTAACATCACAACTGTGAGAGTTGGTTCTGCATTCGTCTATATCTAGACAGATCAAAAGAAAGTAACTGATATCAGTTCAGTGCAAATAATATATTCAAGTTCTGCTTCTCAGGATGCGTGGAGCCTGATGCGCAATCTGTATTGGTCTAGGGGTTTAGCCTTAATGTTGAGAAATAAGATAAGATAGTTTCGACGAGAGAATCATTAAGTCTAAGTGTAGCGGTGCGCAGAAACGTAGAAACGATCGGTGAAGGATTTCAGACTGGTTAATTTAGGTAGATTATTGCATCACTTTCTAACAGCAGTTTCCCTACACGATATTGAAAATCTAGCGACCTAGTTGTCCCTTGCGACTGGTATTGCTTGAAGGGGTCATGTACACTGTAGAAGATCTCAATTATGTTAAAGTAGTAAAGTGTCAAAATTGCTGTCAAACGTAAGCTACCAAAACATTTTCTTCCGTTTCCAAAGAATCCAGCTTTGCAAGTACAATTGTATGATCCCACAGTATTCCG